GGTCTGTGTCACCTTCCTCTCCGCACTCGCAGAAGGGAGTATCCCTAAGTCTGAATCTGTTGAGGTATACTGGGAATGGTCCATGACCTCAAGAAGGCTAGCACTGTGGATCTTCATTTCCATGTTAATTTTTGGCAATAAGCGAAATGTCCTTAGTCCTACCTCTGACCATCTGCTTTGCCAATTTTGTAATAAAATTATCAAAGCTTCTCTTTTATATGTGAGACCAATGAAGTTTAGTAGGTTGCTCTAGTAATTCCATGCCATTAAGTGTCCTACTTAGCCAGAAGGTTCGCGGCTTCATTGTCTTGAATCACTGCCCATTTTAGAGTGGGTCTTTGTGAGATAGATGTATACAGAAGCTGGTTTTGAATTTAATACAGCAAGGGAGTCCTGCAGTTTTGTTCTGCAATAGCCTCTACACTTGAAGTTGAATCACTGAGTATGGAGAATTTCTGCTGCTGATATGAGTTAGAGTACCTAATTGCAGTGTTGATAGCTAGAATCTCTTCTTCGTATACAGAGTTGCTCAGTTCTATTTTCTTCTTCCACTCAAATGTTACAGTGCCATCTTCCAGTCTACAAAAGGCGCTACCCGTGCCGTTCTCCGTTTTGGAGTCATCTATAAAAAAGTTATTTATTGCCATTGAATTGGTTCGTCGTTTATGTTGATGCTGTTTGAGAGATTAAAAGCAGCTGGATTAAATACCTGTGTATACCTATGAATACCTTACCTGTTGCGGGGGGAGGTAAAAAACATTATCTGAAAATCTGTTATCAGTCTGTGTTCTTTCATCACTGTAAATATCCTTGATGGATTCTTGATTTTTTTAATCCTAAAATATTCCTTAAGTTGAATTTTTTATTTCATTCAGGCGTAAAGATTTAGTTACATGAGCTCATAGCAATCTTTATTGTTGTAAATATCTGTAAATATTTAAATTCATTTTATTGCATTTTTTTCAATATTGTTATTTGTACTATTGCGTATTTAATTATTTGTTGCTTTTAGGCAGATAATTTTAGACTTTATTTTGTATTTGCGACCATATGTTTCATAGATAAGTATTTATTTCTTAATTTTAAGTGCAGTAAATTTTAAATTGTAAAAATAGCTCGAATAGAACGTAGGATATCGGCATATTCGCTCCTCACGGGCCTTATTGACCGACTTTTTCGAAGTTTTCAAAAGCCTGTCCTTCACCATATCTGTGCGCGTACGATTCCGATAGTTAGGACGAGTTCAATTTTTCAGGTTCTTCCACATCAGTCAGCCTCATCAGGACGCTCCGACACATCATACAAAAGTTATAGTGATATTCTCGGCAAAGTCTTTGATTTTTCTTGGAGTGTAATGTGGCTAACTTGGGGCCCAGAGTAAAAGTGCAGCAATTCCAGAACTAGTTTTGGAGGGAGGCGAAAGGGACAGACGTAGTGTAAGACTATTTGAAGTTAAGTTGAAAAATAAAAGAAGAGACTGATCACGAGAGAGTTATCAAGTCATTTTAGTACAACTGGATATTTGCTTTCAAAAGAATATGGCCGCAGCCGTTGCAGCTGCGCGAAAATGACTGCTGGCAATTAGAGAAGGGCAAAACACCTGTTTTTATGGGATCCGATCACTACCTTACTGATCTAACTTTTTTTCACATTGCTTGTCTATTTTCATTCCTTACATCTTTCTTCGCGATTGATGGCGGCTAAGTGAAATATCCCATTCTACCATCTCGATTCTTCTTATCATCCTTTTGTTGTTCCAGACATTCTTTTATCTGATGCAGAGTAAAAGCACGCTGTCACTCCCTTTCCATTTGACACAAGTCAAGAACCGTTCGTTTACTGAAACGAATCAGTTCTTTTTTTTATAAATCACCGCTCATTAACAATAACATCGATTAAAAACACCGGGAAGGAGGAGTGAATCAAGATCGATTACCGAGGATAAAACGAAAAGTGAAAGAATCGAACTGGATCGGAGTGGAATCGGCGGATTCGACCCTATCCCCAAACGCTAATTCACTGAATTGATTTCTTTCAACTATTAGTTTAGAGATTTTCTAAAACTTGCTGTCTACACATAATTAAATTTGCAGCTCAAGAATTTTTTTTTAAATCAAAAAGTTGGGAAATGATACAAATTAAACTGACTTTAAACACGAGAGAATAAACATTCTTTCCTAATACTATAATCAAATTTTCTGGCACGCTTCCAATAAGGGCTCTCTGTGGGTGAAGTATAAAAGAGCTCCAGGAGTTCTATATATCAGTGCTCCGCAACCTTTCCTCACCTGCGACGCACAAAAAATCTTTCTGGAATTTCGAGGCACACCAAAGTGTTCCGAGTTATCAAGGAAGTGCCGAAAAAATTCAAATGCTGACACACTTACAATCACACACACAACCACACAACAGTGGAATATATAAAAACATTTAAAATAGACATTATTAAGGGAAAAAATTGTCATTGTGTATTAAATACATGATAAAAGATTGCAAAATGTCAAATACATGTATTTGATTGCGGCACACCTATATCCTACTCATGGCACACCGGTTGCGGAGCATTGCTATATATGTAGCGTCTCATTAATAGATCGCGCGCGCTACTAGCTATGGTCAAGTTTAATGGTCGCGCTAAAAATTGCTTGCTGAATCAGATGTTAAATATAAGCATAATACTAAGAATTTCCGAAAATAATTGAATACGATTATAATAATTATAATCAGATGTTATAAACAAAAGGTTAAGAATTTCCAAAACTAATCCGTTACGTAAAATTTAATTATAACTGAGTGAAATTACCATATCTGAATAAATATCTGATTGTTGTGAAACTGATTAGCTGTATCTAAGACATATTAAAAACAAATCTCTTCATTTTGATGTACGAGACACAGATGGCGTTGGCTGTCATTGAAGTAGGAAGAAAAAAAGGGTTTTCCCCTTTCGACCTCGTGTGACGTGAACTGATTAAGTGTAATAACTTTCGGGGCCAGAAAAATTTCCCGACACTTGTTAAAAAATGTATATATTTTGTAGTATAGAGAGAATATAATTAGATAAATCAACATATTAGAGTTTTTATTACAGATTCAACATCACACTACCCAGGTAAGTGAGCAAGTTTTGTCTTTAGTTTTTCTGGATTGCTCGGTATCTGGGATGAGTGAAGGAAGTATTTTTATTTTAATGATATTTAATGATAAGACTATGTTTTAGTAATAACATAAAGTGGCGTCCGTGACAGGACTCTAAGAAATAAACTTTAAAAAAAAAATTATTTTAATGGTTATAGATAGTTTTTGATGTATTAAAGTATAATTAAGTTTAAATTCGAAACTATTTTTTGTAAAGCAGTTTTGTTTTATTTTGAAAGTTAACTATGGAAGCTTTAAAGGCTCTGAAACTTAAACGGGCAGGTTTACGCACTTCTTTTGCAAAAACTGCTAATATTTTAAAAACGGAGTTAGTAAAAGAAGATTTTTCTGTAGATTTAGTACGAGATAAACTTACTAAACTACAAAATGTATATTCAGATATAAAAAATGTAGATGATAAAATTCTTGATTTGTTAGCTGAAGACGGGAAAACTTTAGAGGATGATGTTACTAAAGAAATCGAAAGTCGCGAGGTGTATTCTGATGATTTCATAACACTAACTCGGCAAATTAATGAAAAATTGCAATTTTCAGATGAAATCAATTTAGAAACAAGACCAAATGATGGTGCTGGTATTTGTTGTAGTAAGATTAAACAGTATAGACTTCCGAAAATCGAACTTAAGAAGTTTGATGGGGAATTGATAAATTGGTACCGTTTTGGTCGCAGTTTGAGAAAATTCACACTGACCCTGATTTATATGAAGTGACAAATTTTCCTATTTGATTCTATTAAATTGAACACCTCTTCAAATTAGATAATGTTGTATCTCTCATAGAATTCTAAAAGGTAAAAAGAAATCTCTTACCTTTTCTTTCACCCGGGAGCCGAGCTTGTTCCATTCTAATTCTTATTCGATGAAATATCTAAATAATTCCAAGCTTTTGCATAAAAACTGACACTTCTGTATAAATAAAGATATTATATTTAGATACAGTTATATACAATTATTAGATTACATGAAATTACGCGCTCTCCAGCTAACAGTCAATCGAGTTCGGATTCAGAGTTCTAACTACGTTCTTACCGTAGGATTATTCTCGAGTTTAGATGTAATGGTGCTGATAGTTCGGAGTTTAGATGTGGAGGCGCTGATAGTTCGGAGTTTAGACATCATCCTCCCACCATTGAGATCCGACGATGCGGAGGAACTCAATACACACAGGTCCAGTCGATGAGGAGGCCGAACAACTCGTCCAGCTCTGGTCATCACTCGAGGACTTGAGGCAGGTTCTGGAATACTAGCAGCCTGATCAGCCTGACCAGTTGCATGGTCGTTTCTATCTCGAGGTGCTCTGTCGGGGAACGGAGGGCCAACGGATTCGGAAGTAGAGATCTCCAACGGGAAAAGCCGGGGCACTGGACGAAGCAGAATTCCATTTCTTGTCTTGACCCTCGCTAGTCTAACTATTCCGTCTTTACTGGGGAAAAGCTCGACTATCTTGGCTAAAGGCCAATGTATGCGTCGTCTCTGGCTGTCTTCCAATAGAACGACATCGCCTACTTGCAACTGTTGAAATTTTCCCTTCTTTATTGCCTGTTGTCTCAACTGACCAAGATATTCATTACGAAATCTGTTTCGTAGATCATGTCTTATTCTCTGTCGGTATTTGGCTCGACGGTTTAGTTCTTTGGAATCTACGTAGTCCATATCAGGAACTCCAGATGACGGCAATTCTTGCAGGAAACATCATAGGGGTCAGTGGTGATGGATCTTGATTATCCTCTGATACGTATGTGATAGGTCGCGAATTAATCACTTGTTCACAGTCACATAATATAGTATATAATTCTTCATAATTTAAGGACGTTCGACCTAACACTCTTCTTAAATTTTCTTTCACCATTCGCACAAGCCTCTCCCACCAACCTCCCCACCAGGCGGCGGTCGGAGGGTTGAAGGGTTGAACTTCCATCGTATCCTTTGGATAGAAGCAGCTGAACATATGGCGTTCCAATTAACTTTCTTAAGAACACTGTTAGTCCCTACAAAATTAGTTCCGTTGTCGGAATATATCACATAAGGTCTACCTCTTCTGGCAATGAATCTACGTAAAGATTGGATGAAAGTTTCTGTAGATAGAGAAGTAACTAGTTCGAGGTGAATGGCTCTATAAATGGCACATGTATACAAGACTATCCACGCTTTAGACCCCTCACGGAGATAGAGAGGACCCGCTAGATCTACACCGACGACTTCAAAAGTCGCCCCTTCTCTGACTCGATCTTCGGGTGGAAATCCTGGCTCGACTTCCACTCTTTGTGAAACAAATCTTTTACATCTTACACATTTTCTGATAATATTTCGAATACTTTTTCTGGATTTTAATATCCAAAAGTTTTCTCTAAGATTTGTCATTAAAGTGCTGACACCAGCATGCTGGAGTTCTAGATGTTTCTCGTAAATTAGTCTCTCAACAAGAATATGTTTTGAAGGTAAAATGATAGGATATCGGAAATTTTCATTATCTTGACGCTGTAGGACGTTCGTTTTGGCTCTTAAAATTCCATTTTGGTCTACGATTGGTCTCAGCGCACGAATAGCGGGATCGTTTATGCCTGTAAATGATTCTTTCTGTACCAATCTACAAAGTGCCTTTTCAGCATTCTCCAATTCATCAACTGAGACATCAGGAGTGAGGTTTTTATCTTTGTTCTTTAAATTGTGATAAAACCTGAAAATCCAAGCGATCATTCTCACGGTTTTTCTATATGAAGAGAAGTATTTGTAGTACCGGTCCAAATTGTCTCCATGATCTAGAAGAGTCAGAATCGTTTTCCTTTTTTCCTTGTTTATAAGTTCTTCATCAGGCTTTTCTTCTACATGGGGCCACTCGTCTTCTGGTAAGTAAAGCCACGATGGGCCCTCCCACCATGCCGATTTCTGTAATTGCTCAATAGTACATCCTCTCGATGGGAGATCCGCTGGGTTTAAACTTCCAGGTACATGCCTCCAGTCAGATATTCTGGTAAGCGATCTTATTTCTTGTACTCGATTGTGAACAAACGTACCCCATGCTTGATCCCTTCTTATCCACCCCAAAGCTGTAGAAGAATCACTCCAGAACACTGTTCTACAATTCTTAAGTTTCAAATCTGATAGAATTGTTTTGGCAAGCCTGGCACCTATCAGACAGGAAAGAAGTTCAAGCCGTGGAATCGTAAGTTCCTTAATAGGGGCTATTCGACTTCTCGCGCTTACTAACTGAACCTTTACACCTTCGATGGTTTCAGCTCTTAAAAATGCACATGTGGCATAGGCTCTTTTACTAGCATCCGAAAAAACGTGGAGCACTACGGTATCTTCGTTTTCGTAATCAATATTTAACCAACGAGGAATTTCAATCTGAGATAGCAGAGGCAATTGGTTCAACCAAGTCCCAAACTGCTCACTTAGGGGAAGAGGAAGATCTTCATCCCACTTAATCTTCTGGTTCCATGTTTCTTGCAAAATTAGCTTAGGAATTACAGTTATCGGTGCAGTAAAGCCAATGGGATCAAAAATTTTCTGGGTAATTGACAAAACTTTTCTTTTGGTAATAGGTTCCCTCAAGTTAAATGTTTCTTCGATCTTGCAACTCAAACTTTTTCTAAATCCCATACTAATCCTAATACTGGGACAACTTTTGTCTTGCTCTCTATCTCATCGATCATGTCAATGCGAAAATTTGATCGCCAACATCTCAAATTGAAATGCCCTGAAGCCAAAATCAATCTTGCTTCTTGAACGAAATTTTCGGCTTCATCTACGTGATTTAAGCTAATTAACGAATTATCGAGGTAAAATGAATCTTTCAAAATATTAGAAGTTTCTACAAATTTTTCTGGGACTGTAGTCAAAAGGTGACTAAGTGTAGCGGCTAGCAGAAACGGACTTGATGTGAGTCCAAAAACAACTCGGTTATGTCTGTAAATTTTAAACTTATGTTGATTATCGAACCATAGAAACCTTAAAAAATCTCTATCCTTTTCTGCTATTTTGATTTGACAAAAGGCCTTTTCGATGTCAGATGACACTCCTATGCGATATTTTCGAAAACGATTCAATATACGTGGAATAATTTCTATTAAATTTGGTCCTTTACTCAAACAATCATTGAGAGAGGGTGAATTCTTAGAACGTGCAGATGCATTGAAAACAGGCCGTATCTTTGTAGTTTCACTAGACTCTTTTATTACAGGTCTGTGTGACAAGTAGTGCACTCCTTCCTCCTTTTCCTCAGTTACTACCTCAATAATGTCCTTCGCTTCCCACTCATCAAATATTTCTTCGTAATCTTTTCTTCTGCGTGTGTTAATTAGTTTACTTTCGGTTTTGACGAGGTGTCTTTCTGCCACAGTACGGTTACTGGATAAGACGGATTTATCTAAAATAAAGGGTAAGGTTACTTCATATCTCCCTGAGCTATCTCGTTTTACACTTTTTAAGAAATGTTTTCGAGGTTTCTTCTTCCAAGACACTTTTCGTTTTGTTTTCCTCACTTGAAATCCCCAAGGTGTCTAAACGCCAAAGATTGGACAAATTTGTATCGGAAACATGTAAGGATAAAGAAAGAACGGACAGGGAACTCGACGTATTCGCATTCTCTTTAATCTTGCCCATTAAAGTCCAGCCTAACTTGGTCTCAAAGGCTACGTAATCCCCCGCAAAATGTTCAATTCTTTCAGTGAACAATTGTGCTGCGGTGTCCGCTCCTAACAGCATATGAATCTCTTCCGGATTTTCTTGAAACAGACAGAGATTTCCATTCACATGATTGTCGTTGATAAGGATTCCCCTTTTTTCCATTACTTTAATTAACTTTTTCGTCTTTGATCTTAGGTAGTGACGAACAAATTTTCCTCTGGTCTAGTGCTTCGATTTTACACCTGTACTTTCCATCCAAACTAGTTAAATCTATTTGATAACGATTATGATCTTCCGAAACTTCTACACCCCCAAATAACCCATGTTTAATTCTTTCAGTTCCTATCTTTTCTAATTTCAACGTTTTAGCAGCATATTGACTTATGTACGTGTTCTGACTTCCGGTGTCTATTAGCAATCTTAAATAACCCTTTAAGGTTTTCCCAGCTACCCCTACGACCAAAGTTTGTAAATAAACTTCAGAACGGTTGCTTTGATTCGAAAGTACTTTATTCTCAACTTCCTGGACAGTTTTGATCGTTCCCTTTTTACTCTCGGAATTAATTCTGTTGCACATAATCGTAGAATGCTTAGAGTGACAATGGGTGCAAAAAAATGTTAGAATCACAAAATTTGCTGATGTGACCCTTATTTTGTAAACACCTAAAACAAGTGCCATTTTTGCGTAGTATTTCAACCTTTTCGTCATTAGTTAGTTTCTGGGCAATAGGACATTTATGGCTTGAATGGGAAAAATCTCCGCAAAAAAAACGCATGCCTTAATCAATTTTTCTTTAATACCCGTGGACACTAAATCAGAAGCAGAAGAAGCTTTCGTTTCTAATTTATTGCTCTTTCCATCGCTGAAATGACGAGTGTTTATTTTCTGGACTGCATACGCAGACTGACGGCGCCCACTATTCGCTGTCGAATGCTCTGAATTCTTATTTATGACTTCCGCCCTTTCGCGTGAATCTAAACATTGAGCTATAATCAAGCACAGGCTTTTAATATTACAATATGCACTTCCATTACTCATTCTGTTAATCTCAAGCAAAATATCTTGGGGAAGTGATTTCAGAATTATTGGACATAACACACTTGATAAATTCTCGAGAGAGAGACTGACCCAAATTTTCTAAACATCTTAATTCGATAGAAATATTATCATAAAATTTTCTAAAGGCGCGAACATCATTCGAGATTTTCAACGGTTTAGTGTTCAAAATGTTATTTATGTGAGTGTAAATGAGCACATCTGTTTTCGCAAATCTTTCTTTTAGAAGATCAATTGCGGAATCGTAATTAGCAGCAGTAATCGGTAATCCTTCGACTGTATTTAAAGCAGAACCACCTAAATGAGCTTTCAAATAATTAAATTTGTCTATTTTATCTAATGAATCATTTTTATGAATGGCAGACTCGAAACTGTTCCAAAAGGTTAGCCAGTTGTTTATATCTCCGTAGAATTTCGTTAAAGTTAACTTAGGTAATTTAATTCGAACAGACTCGTTATGTTTTGGTTTCGTCTTTGACTATCAGTACTGAACTGGTTATTTACTACCGTTTCAGTAGATTTGCGTTTTAATTCGTCGATTCTTTTGAAGGTACGGAAACTGCATTTAACGACCTTTTGACGATATTCTTCAGATTTTTGGAATTCAGCATCAAATTCTTCGACTTCAAAAAGAGGTTCTAATTCTGTATCGACACTTTTAAGCGATTCGAAATTATTCTTTAATATTTCTAAATTTTCGGATCAATTTCCGAAAGCTGCGATTCCAAATCTTTAAGCGATTTCGTTACTGATGTTCGGAGAGCTGCGCGCTTCTTTTTTAATTTATTTAAGATCTCTTCAGACATGTTCTTAACAGTTCAAAAATTCAAAATGTAATCAATAATTGTATTCTTAATCTTTATTTTCTAATTTAAATTCTTATTCTTAGCTCGGGCGTCCCGGCAGGGATGCCAAAAATTGTTGTATCTCTCAATAGAATTCTAAAATGTAAAAAAGAAATCTCTTACCTTTTCTTTCACCCGGGAGCCGAGCTTGTTCCATTCTAATTCTTATTAGATGAAATATCTAAATAATTCCAAGCTTTTTCATAAAGACTGACACTTCTGTATAAATAAAGATATTATATTTAGATACAGTTATATACAATTATTAGATTACATGAAATTACGCGCCCTCCAGCTAACAGTCAATCGAGTTCGGATTCAGAGTTCTAACTACGTTCTTCCGTAGGATTATTCTCGAGTTTAGATGTAATGGTGCTGATAGTTCAGAGTTTAGATGTGGAGGCGCTGATAGTTCGGAGTTTAGATGTAACAGTGCCTATTCGGCATGAGAACTCTCTAATTATGCGGAGAGCTGAAAGCCCTCTCGACAGGTTGTGATAGGGGAAGAGGGGTGAGAGACCTTCAGACTGAAATTTTATATATACAAAAATGTTTTTGTTTACGAATATTAACAATTGAATATCAGGAAAAGAAACATTAAATTATTAACGGAAAAGCAAACAATAATTTTTAATATTACATTTGGTAAGTGAATAAACATTACCAAAGTTAATAAATAAATCTAACTATTTTTTCTTACAATATTTAAAATTTGAATAAAAACTGAGTTTGCAAATAAAGACCAAAGAGACATTTATAAATGGTTACAACTGACAATTCATGATCATATATGGCTATTTCTGCTGCATAGGAATTCAGGATAGAAAAACAAATATATGTACCAGACTGCAAAACTAAAAAATAATGGTATAGATAACTTTTGCGTTTGTACTTTTTCAATAATTATTACATGCTGTTTGAGTTAAAATTTTAGGATTTAGTAACTTTGATCATTGTGTAATTAAATACACTCAAAATGTGTTGTACGTTCTCTGAAAATTTAGGTCTAGAAAACATTTTAAGCTCGAAATACGTATTATATTCATGAAAGTGATAAATCTTCTGTATGTTGTATGAGTTACTTAGTTCATAAATAATTATAATTTTTATGCAACAATATAGGCCCTTTCACGCTATGTTTGAAAATATGTTGAGATAAGCCATAAAATACATAGATAAATGTGTGAGTGCTTTGGTTCTACAAAACGTCAAAAGTCAGTGACTTGAACTAAACGTGTGCAAAATAATATGTTACAATTTCAAAAAATTATCTGACAACATAGAATGAAAAAAAATGTCACGATAATTTTCTAATCTTTCCTTTTAAAGGCTTAAAAATTTTCTTGCATGGAATTTAGCAAGCATTTCTAAGTCCTAAAGAGAGGAATAGAAAAAATATGGCAGAGCTTGTGCAAGAAATGTTATAAAAATTAATAGAAACAATATTCAAAGATATGGCTTCATGATAATAATTCCAAACGCTTGTCATGAAAGCCTTCGAGACATTGTAGACTAAACATTAAAAATGTTATTGCAATTTTGACACTTGGAACGAAAGTAATCCAAAATCAAAGAGTCTACGACTGCTTGTATTAGTTTTATTTTAGGCAGGACCGACAGCAGGATGCAGTTATTATAGCACGCCCATAAATCGACTCTATGTCAGGAACTCTTTAAATACTCTAAGAACTTGGAAATGCCAACGAGAGTATCATATCCTAAGGGACATATCCTTAGAGATAAAGAGAATACTGAAGATTTAATGAAGCTGGAGAAGTACAAGCAGAAAAAAATAGGAAGGCTTAATTCTGTAAAAATACATATCCACACATTACTAAAAATTGAAAATAAAACAGAGAAAATTAAATATAGCTTGTTTTTTTAATCTAAATTTTTACCCGTTGGGTCCGTCAAAACCATTTCTGTACTAGCTTATGAATCGATGTTAGGTTAATAGCGATATATTTGCGACATAGATTGCTAAAAAGGAGATGTGATTGCTAACGTTTACTTATCCAAAAGAGGTAGTAACGTTCGGTTTAAATAAAATAACTGGAATCATGCTTATATAT